CCCTTTTTTTTTTCTTTTACTTCTGGGTTCCTTTTAAACCATATTTGTATGTAAATTGTAAACAACGTTTTGGGAATCTTCTTGTATTTGATTTGGTGTTTTCTGGCATGGCTCCCTCAGGTTTTCCATCCTATGTCTTAATTCCTGCATCTTTCTAGGTGAAAGTGGAAAATAATGTTGTGATAATAATGTAAGAGTTTTATGATATATAATCAAAATAAAGTTTTCAAATTATTGAAATCAGGCTACAGAGACTTGCTATCTGTGTATCAAGAGTAACTCAGATTATTTACTACTCTCTATATTTCCTAATCAAGAAAATATCTAATATTTAATAATATTTAAATGACATCTTAAAACTCACCCAAAAAACCAAACATGAGTGTCAAAATACTCCTTTGAATATGAATGTCTCTCTGTTCTCTCTGCAGGTACGGCGATGCAGTGAACAAGAACTTAGTGGTGGGCACCCTTTCGTGGCCCTCGCCATGGGTCATTGTGATAGGATCCTTCTTCTCTACCTGTGGAGCAGGTTTACAGAGCCTTACTGGAGCCCCCCGCCTGCTGCAGGCAATAGCAAAGGACAACATCATTCCTTTCCTCTGGGTTCGTACTTCCTAAAAAAAAATAAAAATAGGCATTCTGTACATATTAACTAACCAGCTATTTGACTTTGTGCTCTCAGAAATCAGATTTATTTTCCCTAGTTTGCCCAGCATTGCAATGAAGGTCAATTTTTTTTATTTTAATGTTTTGTTTTCTTTTGTAAAAAAATAAGAATATTTTAAAAGAGTTTGAATAGACACATATAGTAATTTTATGAAGAAGTTTTAACATCTAATTTAGTGAAGCACAGAAAGCCATTAGAGTAACTTGACTCCTCGCTCTAGAGAAAGAAGTATGTAGGAAAATATGCTTAAAGGTTCTGTTTCTTCAGGTTTTTGGTCATGGAAAAGCGAATGGTGAGCCGACGTGGGCTCTTCTGTTAACAGCATTAATTGCTGAGCTGGGAATCCTTATTGCTTCACTTGACATGGTGGCTCCAATTCTCTCAATGTAAGAAACAGGCTGGTTGCTGTTTGGGGGAGTGGGGAACAGGGCAGGGAAAGAGTGATTCTCTTTTGTTTTGCTAATTTGATTGTCTTTCAGAACCATATCTTAAACCAGTAAAGCAAATTACTGGAGCCTGAGTTCTGCTTCTGTTATTTCTATGAATTCTCTGACTTCTGGCTCTACATCTAAATCTATTTGTTTCTGCTTTGGAGTATTCTGTGAATAAACATGGTTTTAGTATATTGTTAGTTTGTTTGGGAAAATGTTATTTTTATCACAGAACAAAGATAGCATTGATGTTGTGGATAGATCTAACCTGATCCAGTTGAAAAACTGTTCTAACTGCTTTGTACCGATAGTTCAGGCTAATAAAAATCTGAGGGCTAGGCACATGTGACAGGGCAGCTGTAGTTTGACTGTAAATCATTCATGTGATTATAGCATGTGCCAGAATCTATAAATGTGTGTGCTAAAAGGTTTTGCACTTCTTTTGCTTCTGCAGGTTTTTCCTGATGTGTTACCTCTTTGTTAATCTAGCCTGTGCAGTACAAACACTTCTTAGAACTCCAAACTGGCGGCCTCGATTTAAATACTATCACTGGTAAGCAAAAGGCCAGCATGCTCAACGCCTGGTCTGTAATGTACAGTGCGGGATTTGGAAGAACCGTCTCCATGAGGTTGTGGGCATCTTTTATTTCTCTTGATATCAGTTCTAGACAAGAGTACATCGATGTAATATTCATAGTGGACCAGACCCAGATATTTAATGGCGTGAAAGTTTCATTTCAACAACAGGATACTAAAACTGTTGGGGACTGGGGAGATCCATTGGTAGTTTTACTTTCACTCCCAGTTCAGAACAGACAATTTAAAGACAAAAGAGCAAGAGAATAATTGACTTGTGTTTAAACTTTTCTACCCCGCTACTTACTAATGTCTTTGCTTTTTGTTTTAGGGCCCTCTCATTTTTAGGCATGAGTATTTGCCTGGCACTGATGTTTATTTCATCTTGGTATTATGCTTTGGTAGCTATGCTTATTGCAGGCATGATTTACAAGTACATTGAATACCAAGGGTAAGTATTAACTGGATAGAAAAGGGTAGGAAGGAGATTGGGTCTATTTTTCATGAATTATCTCTAGCCTTCACATTTGGAGAAGGAACTGTCCAGAGATACGACTTAGAGGGCTTCTCTGATTAGTTCATTTCAGTGCTAAACAAAAGCCCCTGAAGTGCTTTGTTGTTAAGCCTCTAAAGGTGTTTGGTGAAACTTGAGAGTCACAGGAGGCAGAAACCCTGGTTGGGATCTATCCTTCTGCTGTCTATCACACATAATTCCTTCAGGCCCAGAACAGCTGAAGGCAGCCATCTTATTCCAGTTTATCTGGTGCAAAGGTCTGTCTAGAACAGTCCTTAAAATGCTGAATCTGCAGATTAGGTTGTCTGAGATTTGTTAATATCTGATGGAGTCAGGCTGTAGTATGGCTGTGTAACTTAATTTTAACATGTGGTATTGAAATGCCTGATGTTTGTATATGCTTGGGAAGCCTTCTCTGTAGTGGAGTGTTGATACAAATTAAGCACAGAATAGTGTTGTCATATACATTTGACTGAAACATTTGCATTCTTCTCATGTGATACATGGTAAGTATCACAGACATACATGTACAAATGATAAATATACATGCGATGCATGCTATGTATCACATTATTAAACTCATTGTAAGGTAATGGTTTCTCTATAGCATGACTGCAAGTGTGCAGTTAAACCCTCATGAAGCCATATGTTGGCTAAACTGTGTTTTCTTCACAGTGCGGAGAAGGAATGGGGTGATGGTATCCGGGGTCTTTCACTCAGCGCAGCAAGATACGCCTTACTCAGACTGGAGGAGGGCCCTCCACACACAAAGAACTGGAGGTACTCATTTTAGACTAATAAAATGCACTGTCATGATTATCTGTTTATGCTTAAGGATTTAAACTGGACTACAAACAAGATGCTTTTGGTCTGTGTGAATGAATTTATATGCTCAGAATATTAAAAAAACCAAAGTGTTGAGTCTGCGGTAAGCTGCTATCACTGCCTAAGCCCTACTGCGTGGACCCTGTATTGACAGACCTTTCGTGTCCTTTGGATCTTTAATCAAACTCTGAATTTGTGAATTCAAAAGTGGAACTAGGGGAAACTGTGGAGATCTCTGAGTACAGAGGTCCAGAGGCCTGTGGCAATTTGCACTGCGGGCATAAAGAAGTCACTGCTATCATTCTAGGATTAAACACCAAACAGTGGCCAACATTTTTTCCCTCTGGCTTTGTGTGTTGAAGACAGATTAAGTGGGCAAGAACCCTCCTCTCAGTTAGGCATTGTGCAACTCTTAGGCTCTGAACAAGAGGGCTGGGAATCTACCAAAGAAGAGAGTTTTAGAAATCTTTCCATACTTGCTCAACCATAGCTTAAGAGAGAAAATAACTTAATTGATGTGTAGCAATACCTTAAGGGACAGAAGGCAGGTGGGATCTATGTTTAGATGGAAGTATTCATGTTTCCCAATGTTCATCGTCAGTATCCAGATAGATCTGGAAGGACAACCTTGCAGTATGAAGACAGTGTGTGCTCTAATAGTACTTAAAAGAACCTTGAAAATCAACCACTTAAATAAAACACTAATGCAAGCCTCTTAAGCTAAGTACATGAACAGGTTTTATGACTGTCCAAACAATGCAGCAGAAGAATTCCCTCAATGCTTCAAATCTGCTTTGAATCAAGAGAAATAAATACTAATTAAACCCCTTCTAATATGTGAGATACAGAATGTGCTGTTTCAGAGTTAATATTGAAGCACACTCAAAGTGATGAGAGAGGCAGTTTTTTAGAAGTGTTTTTGTTAAGGCCTTAGTAAAAAATACGTTCCCTTTTTTATTTTCTCCAGGCCTCAGTTGCTGGTGCTTCTGAAACTTGATGAAGATTTGCATGTAAAATACCCTAGATTGTTAACATTTGCATCCCAGCTGAAAGCTGGCAAAGGTTTGACTATCATAGGATCCGTGATCCAAGGGAATTTCTTGGAAACTTACGGAGAAGCCCAGGCTGCTGAACAGGTCAGTGTTTTAAACAAATTGCTAAAGTAAAAAGGGGTGAGTGGGCAGATAACTTAAAAGTTTCATAATGGTACATGGAAAAAAGCATATCAGTAAGGCTTCCATGAAATACAGGACTAGTTGAGTAGCACTAGAGCTGTTCAGTAAAGGGCTTGCAAAAATGTTTCAGCTGCCAATTGTGGCTTTGGAAATATAAGATCAATGCCTGTAACTTGCGTAAACAGCCTTACTGCATAAAACTGTCTTCATTTATAAGAAGTAATTACTATGGAAGTTTACGTATGCTGATTAATGGAGGGAAGACGACTATTTAGTTTTGTAAACATACCAAGAAACATTTCAGTAACTGTCAGTTATTACAAACTTAGCAAATGTGCTCTTTCAGTGTGGTAACGAATTTATTACAAAAAGCATTAAATGATCATCCTGAAAATTGGTTAATAAATCATTTAATCTTCCTCACTGTGTAAACATGACATCATAGCTCTGTTTACATCTGTGTAGTATCAGCCAGCACATCGCTGCTTTCTTCCCCAGAGGCTTTTTATACAGGAAAACTGTTATAAAGGGAAAACTAATTCATAGGCCAATGTGTTGACCAAGTTTGTTTAGTTTTTAAACAAAGGGTATGGTATTCTTGATAGGTGGGGTGGGATGGTGCTTATATTTGTAAATTGAATATAATAACACAGCATGTTACGTAGAAATCTGAAACTGGAAATCTGAACAAAGTTAATTGACCTTGGGTTTAAAAAGGTGAGTGTTTTAGGATTAGAAAATGGAAAGTGAGATAGTAACACAGGTATCACTAATTACTACTATGAATAAGAGACTATAGCACAACCCCAAAAAAACCATATCTTAATCTGTTAGAAATAATTATGTTTGGAAGGGAACTATGTGTGTTTTAAACAAGTAGTATTCACAATTAGTGGGTATTTTCTCTTCTGTTTTATTAAGGAAAGCGGATGAGCAGAACTTTGCCTTGAAATGTGTTTAACCTGTGGACATGTGAACCAGGAATTTACGTTGTAATCACATGATAGAGAAATACTTAAGAGTTCCTTTTCCTTGTCTGTCTTGCAGACTATTAAGAATATGATGGACATTGAGAAGGTGAAAGGATTTTGTCAAGTAGTTGTAGCCAATAAAGTTCGAGAAGGAATTGCCCACTTGATCCAGTCCTGTGGACTAGGTGGCATGAAACATAATACTGTGGTTTTGGGATGGCCATATGGGTGGCGGCAAAGTGAAGATCCAAGGTCATGGAAGACCTTTATAGGTGAGCTTTAAAGGTTCTCTGTGATCAAACATTGTGAACAGAGATATTTATTACACACATGGTACACGCAGGGGATTTTAACAGAATCCTTGTGAAATTGGTTTTGGTTTTCAGTCTGTTTTGTCTAGTATTGATTGTGAAGTAAATAATTTCTTGCAAAACTGCTCTAAGTTTGAAATACCACTTCTTGTAGATAAAAGACCTATGAAAGATCTTCAAAGATTAATCTAGCAGCTGCAATTCATCTAATGAATGCTGAAAAAATTACGGATTTGAGAGATACTGGTTTAATGGCAAACTTTTATTTGTTTCCTAGCTAATCTCTGTCTTTTCACAGGTCTTAACCTATTCATCTCTTCACTACTGGAGCTAAGACTGTCCTTGCCTATATCCCTGTCCTTCCTCTATGGTCCAGTTACTTAACACAGTCAAGTTAGAACAGAGCAGATGCTTTCTCCTCATACTTAGCTTTGAAGATTGCTGCATTTATTTCAAACATGAAATAGGCCTTGTGTTCCTCTAAGTCTGCTTTATCCTAGCTTTGTCATTTGCTCCAACCTGTCTATACAAGCTTTGCTGTACATACTTTTCTTTATGTAAGTGATGACTTTTATGCTTTGCTGACATTTGCTCAGTGAGTAACTTTTTTTTAAAACCATAGATCACTTGCAGAATTGGAAGTAACTGTTTGTTCTTCCTCTTTTTTGCAGGTACTGTTCGCTGCACAACTGCAGCCCATCTGGCTCTGCTGGTTCCCAAAAATGTGTCCTTCTACCCCAGCAACCATGAGCGTTACAATGAAGGCAACATTGATGTGTGGTGGATTGTGCATGATGGAGGCATGTTGATGTTGCTTCCTTTTCTTCTCAAACAGCACAAAGTAAGGAGCTATCCAAAGAATGTTTGTCACTCAGCTACTTCTGTGTGCATTAGTTTAAAGAAACAAGGTCCAGTAGTAGAGCCTGTATTGATACACGAGAGTGGATATATTGATAAGTTTCTGTTTCTTAGAGCAAAATATTACTGGTTCAAATACTGAGAGTGTACATTCCCTCACCAGGTTTGGAGAAAATGCAAAATGAGAATTTTTACTGTAGCTCAGATGGATGATAACAGCATCCAGATGAAGAAGGACTTGGCTACTTTCCTCTATCAACTCCGAATAGAGGCAGAGGTAGAAGTGGTAGAAATGGTAAGGAATTTGAGCCTGTTTTTCACTTTATGATGCAAATGGTGGTATTTGGTTATGACTTGATTACAAGCACAGTATTTTTTTTCTTACTTCTGCAGCACAATAGTGATATCTCAGCATATACTTATGAGAGAACTCTTATGATGGAGCAGAGATCTCAGATGCTGAGGCAAATGAGGCTGACAAAAACAGAGAGGGAAAGGGAGGTATGTCATTTGTGGTTGATTGCTATGGGCTGCTGAGGTGGATGACACAAAGCGCCTTCCTAGTAGCGTTTTATATAGCTGCTGCTGTAAGGAAATACTTTCAGTGTAGCTTTTTTGTTTCCCAAAATTGCATGTAGTCATTGAATAGCCTGGCTGTACTTGCAAAACCATGCTAGAAATTACTTGTTTTGGGGGAAAATGATGGCAGTATATACGCCATAGAAATGATTTGTATGTTCCCCTTTGTGATGTAAATGATACTTAATGACTTGAGGATGTAAGTCTCGACCCTTTCTTGACCTTGTTTTTGCTTTATGTGGGATGTCTGGGGTTTGTGTCAATTTATAGTATTCTGTTTTCCTACTGAAGATTTCATTCCAGTTTGGACTGTTAGGACACATAGCTATGAAAGGTGCAGATGAACTGATTTTTCTGCATGTGTTTGTCCAATATTTTTTTTGTTGTCGTCAATTTTGAGTCAGACTTACCCATTGTTTCAGACCATGTCGTGATGTAAGCTAGGCTGTCTTTTTTTCTTGTATAGATACAGGCCTCTGTTAGTCCAAACTGGGCATGGCTTACACCCATCAAAACTGTTTAAAGTCAGTTTGGTATGTAAGATTATTGGCTAGGGCAGATGCCTGGTATCAGAGCTGTCCTAAAGACTAAACTGACTGTAAAAAATAAAGGATACAATGGAACAAAAAGTCTTCCATTGCTTAAACAGAACCAGAGAATGTAAAATGAAGTCTCTGAGTTCCTTGTCATTCATGTGCCCTCTAGGCTCAGCTGGTAAAAGACAGACATTCAATAGCACGTCTGGAGAGTCTCTACTCAGATGAAGAAGATGAGGGGGACCCAGTTCCTGAGAACATCCAGATGACCTGGACAAAAGAGAAATGTGATGCGGAGAAGCGGAACCGAGGCAGTGCTGTGGGAAGCTTTAGAGATCTCATCAGCATTAAGCCGTGAGTCTTGTCTAAATCAACAGCTTGCATCTCCTGGAACTCTAGATGTGCTTTTATTATCTTTTGTCTCCTAATCCTTGGTTTAGATTTATGCAATGAACATTGAGACCTGACTACTGAAAAGACAGCAGTTAGCCTCCTGAGAAATCTCTAACCAATTAAATGTGGCACACATCCCTCCATATTTTACTTGGTATAATCAAATTCTAAATTGGAGCCGTTAAACCCTATTATAACTTTCCTCCTGTCTCCCAAATACCTCCACAAAACACAATTAAAAACCAGACTGATAATTTCACTGATCTAATCAGAATTTAAAAAAAGACTGATAATTTCACAATCTAATATGTAGTGTGGATGTTTAACGCAGCAAGGAAGAAGCTGTGGAGATGGTGACAAATGACTGTGAATAGAATATGTGTGCAATGAAACCCTCTAAGATAGACTCACTGTTGAAGGAGCACTGACATGGAACAACAGCCTTAGTATTACCACATGTGTGCCCCTTGAATACCTAGAAGTAAAGCTCTATTTTGGCTTTGTATGAAAATGTGTGAATCTCCTATGACCTCTTTGATGTACTACGTGTTACACAAAGAGTTCACTCAGTCAGTTTTGCATACTTGGCAAAATGCCAGAGTTTTTTTCTTAATAAATCAGTGAGAATTCAAATCTGTTTTAGGCTGAATCATACTGTAGAAATTCTGCTGAATTTGGTGTTAACTACCTGTACTTTTTCCTCTTCCATGCTTTCAGAGAGTGGGAAAACTTGTAAGTTTGTTATTTAACTTAGAAGTACATTAAGATGGTTGAGAGGGAAGACTTCATTTTCTCAACTAAAAACAGGAAAACTATATGTAATTATGGAAGAAAAGGACTTAAAGTTGAGCGATCTTAGCAATGTTTTTAAAGGGAGGAGGATTAGCCACTTAAGCTAAGTATCATTATAAATAGCATGTAATAAACTGTAAGAGTTGTCCTGGCAAGAACTAAGTCAGGATAGAAAACAATTACAGGTCTGAACCTATTTTCTTAAGCAGAGTATGACACAAGAAGTGGGAAACATTACTCATTGAGAGAAACTCTCATTCCACAACTCTGCTATGATGTTATTTCTGGCAGTTTCTGGACACTAAACAAACCCTTTCTTAGAGCCTACACCTTCAAATCACTGGGGAGATGCCAATTTTAAATGTCACTTCAGAGAATACCAAACCTTTAGTTTTCAATTCCTTTTCCAAAACTCTATGTAGTTAATAACAGTATATTGTTTCTGGTGCTGGTTTCTTCTCACTTCCTGTAAACATAAGCTGGCCTTTTTGTTGTCCCTGGCTTTCTGAAGCTGATATGGGGAACACAGAGGATGTCCTTGCTCTAAATTAAGTAAGAACATGAAATAACAGAGAGGTAATTCACAGTGGGTAAATTGTGCTGTTAGTATAATAAACATTATTCTTACCATTGCATCTTCTATTTTCTGCCTATATAAAATATTTCTTTGCAAACCTAAATATTGGGAAGAGTGGCAAGGTTATTAAAGATTTTCACTCATAACATGTAAAGCTGAATTAACAAAACTATAGATGCATATTTGATTCCTTTCTACTAATATTTGGTTTTAATATATTAAAATGAAGGAAAAAAAAAAAAAACAAGTGGAAAATCCTCAAAGCTGCAGGTATATTTTCCCTTTGATAAGTCTATTGCTGTACTGTTTTTCCTTTTATGTTACCAAACTAATGGTTGATTTCCTGTAGGAAGGAAACATTCCCTGGCTCAAAATCCCGGAAGGATACTTTCCAGTTCTGTTCCTGCATGAATTGGTGTTATTTTGTGATAATATATTCTGAATAATTAATCCTGTTACCTCTCGTAGCCTGGATTCTTAAGGAGCAGAGGCTTATGAGCTCATGCTGCATCTATTCCCTTCTCTCCCATAACTTTTGAACCAAGTGGCTACTCAAATTTGAAAGCATGATTGAGATTTTAAAGATACTTGGGTCATAAGTGTTTCTTGTAAATAGCCAGGCAGAGACGTTGATTAGTGTCCAACTGAAGGAAAGGTTAAAATCCTTATTATACACCAGAAAAGCCCCATAAGCAGACATACATCCAGCCATTTGTACTAGGCTGCACTCCAGCCCACAGATCTGTAGGAAACTAGGCTTTCTCTGGAGATGTCAACTGCTGTTCAACACAAAAAAACAAGTGCGCTCATGGGAAGTGTGGACTGAGCACAATGGTGCCAGTCTCCTACTTGGTTCCAATGGGTCTCTGAGAAAAGAGTTTTCCAGTACTGAGTCCGGAGAGGTGTGTGGACTGTGCTGCCATGGGAGTGAGGGGATCTGGAGAGGGCTGCCAACGGGAAGGCTCTGCACTCACAAGTGTCCACGGTTGAAGAACATGTCCCCTTGTGCAAATGTGTTTTAACTTCCTATGCAAGACTAAATCACCTTTATAAAATATGTTTCTTGAAGAGCAATATAACTTCATAAACTGGAGACTTGACTCGAGGCAGGGATCTTAAAACCAATGGACTAGCTGTACCTGAAGAACTCTGTGATGCCTCTTTTGTATCTACATTAAGTTTGAAAATATTTACTGTGTGTTGAGTTGACACTTGACAGGGCATTTAGATTTAAGGTATGCTTTTAAGGGGCTTTTTAGTAATTCAGGGGCATGTTTCTAATGGTCAGTCTGAATGTGCTTCTTCTACAGGAACCAGTCTAATGTCCGCAGAATGCACACAGCAGTGAAACTAAATGAAGTTATTGTAAATAGATCCCATGATGCCAGACTTGTTCTCCTCAACATGCCTGGTCCTCCAAAGAATACTGATGGTGATGAAAACTGTATCCTTTCAGCCAAGGCCTGGTCCATATTGAAGACCTTTCTTTAACCTGTGCTCTTGAATTCATTTTGTCACAAATGCTGTCAAGCTGTGATATGTGAAAAAGTGTCCACTGAGTGGAGGGTAGTGGCTTGTGGCTGTTATGTAGTAACTGCTTAAAGTAAAAGTTGCCACTGGTTGCTCTGGAAGCCTTGTAGGTTTGCATTCAGTCTTGTCTAAAGTCTTACTTGATTTTATTTATTCATTACATTTAATTTAATTCTCAATAGTGGATGTAGCAGATGTTTAAGACGGCATTCACAGCAGCTAGCGCTCTGGGCAGAGCACTCACTGTCTCAGCTGGAGTAAACAGGAAGTCCCAAAGGAGTGGACCTATCTCAGGCATAGCTCACACATCAGAATTTGGGAGCGTTGCTCCATGTGCAATGCTCCGGTAAGACTAACATTCAAACCCATAGTATTTAGGCACTTAGAGGGATACTTGCACCACGCCCCTAAGCAAGGCCACAGCTGAGGGTTTTGATCTGCTGAGCCTGTTGGTATGGCAGTTCTCTGGCCACAGCTGCTCTTCAGCCTTGGTTTGTACCATTAAATTAGCAAGCCTTTCACTGGCCTGTGCCAAAAAGTATATGTCACAAGTCATGGACCAAATGATCATTTTCTCCTAAATCTAGATAGCAGTAGTAGCAATGGCTGTTTCACACCAGTGTGCTGGCCAAAAAAAAGGATAAAAACATTCCTTTTAGCATAAGGGGGTTTCAACCACAGCTACTGTAGCTCAGGAGAGATTTTAAACTTGAGGTTATGGGTGAGGATGCTTATTCTTCCACCCTTCCCTGGAGAGGCTGAGCCACTGTGACTGAAAAAACACGCAATATTCACAGAGAGCAGCTGGGAGGGAGCGTGACTGTGTAACCTGGTGCCGCCAGTATCACTGACTGGTTCAGCTTTGGGCAGTGGCGGGTTCGTTTTGGAGCAGCCTGAAATTGGCTCTGTCTGACATGGGGGCAGCCCCTGGTCTCATCTCACAGAGGATGCCCCTGCAGCCTCCCCACTACCAAAACTTTGCCACATAAACCCAATACAGAGGCTAATCACTGTGTATTTTGGTTTTGATATTTCCTTGACTTCACTGAAACAGACATGGAGTTCCTTGAGGTCTTGACTGAGGGTCTGGAGAGAGTATTACTTGTTAGAGGAGGTGGCCGAGAAGTCATCACAATTTACTCCTGATTTAGTACAAGCTTCTAACGCTGGGTCTACATTTACCTTCTTGGCGATAACGGACATTCCAGTTTTAAATGGAGAAGAAAAAAAGGTTTTTTGCCTAACTTATCCTCATCCAATCCTATTCTTTGTCTTTCCATTTGCAACATACATATCTTTTGGGATTGCAGTATTGTTACACCATCCAATTAGCAACATAAGTTAATTGTGAAGCTGCCACATTATTCAGTTTCTGCTTTGGTACTCCAGCATTTGTGCATGTAGTTTTAACACTAAACCTATTTTTAGTCAGCACTGCTATGTGCAGTATTTTTAGTAACTGTATGTAAAGTTAGGACATGAAAGCCAGTTACTGTAAAAAGATTTTAAAAGCTTTTTATATTAGGTTTGGGGGATAGAATTACGTTAATATAGCAGCTAGTTTCTGCTGAAGTTCAGCTACAAAGCATTTTCTAAGAGCACACTAAATTGTAAGAGAGGACTGAAAAAGCTTTGTTTTTCTGGGTTTATTTCCAGAACTAAACTCTCAGTATTGGGTAAGAATTTATACTTTTAATACATTTATTGATAGAGATTTAAATAAATTATGTTGATATAGTTGAAATTATGTATGTAGCTTGCTACAAATTGTGTTGCTTCTGAGACTTGAGGTTCTGTGAGGCCAGATCCCTATTTATTTTTGTATTTATTTGTCAGAAATATTGGATACGCAGCTGCAGACTGTTTAGGATAATAGAGATCTCACAATAAATTTTGAATCATCAGTGAATTGAAGGACCAGTCCTGTGCAGTTCTTCCATGCTTTAAATTTCTTGCAGACCATCCATCAAAGTACATTGAGCATGTTGGAGTCCCGTGTGTAGACCCAGGTGCTATGCTGCACGCACAGCGAGGGGATTGCACTTGCACAAGTACAGGGGACCTGCTGCTTCATTGTATGCTTTATGCCCTTAGAGGAAAAAGAAGAAAAGAAGACCTACTTTAACCAATAAGTCTCTGGAGATTTATCAAGCCCATTAAGTTGTACTTTATGTACAGAACATTCGTATTTTTTCAATAAAATGTTGCATACACTTTGAACCTATTCTCTGTTCTGTGTGTTATGGTGAATTACCTAGGAAAACCCATCTGTCCTTCCCTGCGCAGCATTGCTGTGATCTGACTTCACCGCATCAGCATCTGTGGATCCACTGTGTGAGGGGAAGGTGCTGGGGGCATGTTGGTGCTTGCCCAAATGGCACAGGTACTGGCATGGTGGAGGTGCCAGCTTAGTCTTTAAAGCAGACTGGTGGTAAGCCTGAGGAAAGGCTCCCAGGTCTGGAGTTACTACCGTATGTAATAGCCAGGTAGAACTCCGCACCTGTAGACTATGAAACACGCAGGCTGGTACCTGCTCAAGATTCCCGGCTGCCTGGGAAAGCGGTAATTCCATACAAGGGACATGTGTGAGCTAACCTCTATGGGATGCATTAGTAGTATGGGAAGAAAGGTGGGGACTGACACATTTCTCTGACCCATGTGCTCTTGCTAGTTGGTATACTCGTTTTGTCAACCCTGTTGTGATAGTACTCCTGGTTGTTTCAGTGATAACAGCAGGACCAGTTTGTGAGACAGAAATCTGAGAAACTATCCAGGCTTTTATCTTGAATAAGAATAATGTAATAAAAAAATGCTTTTTATAAGAGTTTTATAGTTAAAGCCTACGTCTGTTGTCTCTGTGAAATAGGATGGCAGCAGGATCGTATCGGTGTGTGCAAGATCCCTGCAAGACAACAGCCAGGAAACAACTCTAGGGTGCGCTCTCTACTGGATATTTTTTATTTTTTTAACCACAGTCTGCTTTTTTGGTGTTGAACACCAAAATTCATTTCAGTCACATTTTAAAACCAATGGAAAGAATAAAGCTTGCCTATTTGTAAATAGTGTGCTATTTGTAAAGAGATAATTTTTACATCTTCAGAGGACTGAGTAGTAGTATGCCAGTATACAGCAATCATGGTAGTTAACACCTATTTGCAAGCATTCTTTTATAGGAGTAATTAAAAAAAAGTTTATGAAAACTTTTTTACTCCTCAGACTTTTGTAGGTCTAACTATGAGATAGTAACTTTCTTTTACCAAATGTAAACTTCTAATATAAACGTGCTGAGAAATATATACCCTTATTCCTTATGAAATTTCATGCATTTGGATGACATAACGCCACCTCACAAAAGCATTTCAGTACTATCTATTATCTCACCCAAGTAACCTGTCTGGGGCTTTATTGTGTTTTTAACATCAAACCAACCAAGTGGCTATCCTTACAGATACATCAGATTAGGTTTTCAGAGGTGATTGTACGCGATATGGCCTAAAAGCCTAAATCAGCATTGTGTGGACCCTAAGGATTTAATAGGCTCCAATTATGTAAGACATCCCTATACATACAAGGCTCAAAATAAGTTCCTCTGAGACATCTTATGCTGCAGTGCAGAGTCTAAGGGCGCATGAAGTCTAAGGTGCTACCAGAACTAGCATGGAAAAGGCTGTGTAAGAAAAACATCAATGAAAAAGGTAATTTCTAGTTGAGTCAGCTTCTGTGAAGGTAACTGAATGGTCATCTTCCATTCCTGTCCCTATGCGAAAACCTTTTTTTGGTAAGGAGATGAGAACATTGCAATTAAAATGCAACATGACGAAGTTGCATTTAAGCTCTATGTATACAAGTATAGAGAATTACACTTAAAACCTCTATGGTATAGTTTTAATAATCAGTGAGTGATTAAAAGAATCCAACGGTAGCACAGAGATGCCAGTTTGCTTTATCTTTCACCTCCAAAAAACTCGCAATCAAAAAACCTGCAATCAAAAAGCTGTTTTACTTTCTGTGAGGAGCAGCGTGTTGCTCCCCTGGTTTTCATAGCACGGAAATGGTCTGGGACACGTTTTGCCTTAGCCAGGAAAGCCCACCAGAGGGCACCAGGCTGCCTCCTTTGGTGGTTCCCCAGGCCTGAAGAAATGCCACAGCAGTTACCCAGATTATTTGGAAATTAATGTTGAGTGGTCATTTTTCATGCTATTCATCTAAAGAGTACTTCTTTGAATTCTAGATGTGCTGATAGGAAATGAAACGTGATAAATTAAAAAAAATCCATTTAAACAATACGTCCTCCTCCCCTGTCCCCATTTCTCATTTTCTCATCTGCGTCATCCATAATAATGTTTGCTTCTTCAGTAGTTCCCTTGGGAAGGGAAAAACTGCCTCATGCTGTGCTCTGGAGGTCAGAAGTGCTTGTTCTGTTCTGGAGTAATTATCCCCCTGTATAGTCACTGGCCCAGGTCTGTGGGCAGATGCTGCCAATACAAAGTGCTGCTTTTCCCTGGGGAGAGGTATGCCATCGCTCTGGATTTGCCACATCAGACAGCAGCCATCAGAACTGCAGTGCAGTCCAGCAGGTGATGGGTTTTTGAAGAAAATGTCCCATCATACTCACACTCTATATTCCAAGCTCAGGCAGCTCTTCAAGCAGAATGCACCCTGCTGGTGGACAATCAACTAAAATGGAGTCTATGGTTGGCAACTTCTGTCCAAAATTATCTCTCCACTCTTAAAATAATGCAAGCGGGCCGCTTGCTGTTGGGAAAAGTGTCATAAGGGCATGTGTCTTCCTCTAGCTGGGAAAGGCGCCTGGCAGCCAGGCAGATCCTGCTTATGCCTGGCAGGCCTGATATTCATTTCTTCTGTCAGTTCCTGAAGCAAGCCTGTCCTAGTGCTTCAAGAAGTGCAAGCCAGCCAGCCAGTGCCCTTACTATGTGTGATGGGCTAAATCTGAGCTGAGAAATGAGTGAAAGACTGAGCAAACAGGACAATTTCAAAAGTAAATGGGTACCTGGCTAGTGTTGAGTGGCAATGGGAGCTGTCCCTAATTTATCTCTGCACAGGGCTTTGTCTGAGGTTCTCTTTCACTTCTCTGCACCATCTTGTGGGATTCCCAAGATAGCTGTCAGTACTTGACACCACGAGGTCTGAGGCTCTCCAGCTTGCAATGATTTCTGCTATTCCCTGGCAATGTCAATAGTACAGATGTCACTACTGAAACAGAAATGCAGTAGGATGTCTCCATGGCCCACAGAGATGGCATTGCTAAGGGGTTAGTAATAAAAGTTAGAGACCTCAGGCAGACGTCTCAACCTTTGAGAGATCTGTGTCATGCAAGTAGGCCAGTGATTCTATGCCATTAAAAGAAATGTTAAGAGGGAGAAGATGGGACTGTATGCTGCATAAATCTCATCCATTATTAAATAAGTAAAACAAAAATTGATTTAATCTTATCAAAGAAAGTGTTCTTACAGAATTGCTAAAAGAAGAAAATACTAGCTGGGCACCTAATATTCTGGGTGAAGGCAGTCAGGATCTATGACAGGGTATTCTGGATCAGCTTCAACAGGGAGATGAAAGCAGCAAGCTACCATTTTGATGCATGAATATCCAGTGCTTGGATACTATTAATGTGTTTCCTTTCACCCAACCCAGGAGGTGCCTATGTTTCTGCTGTCAGATATGCATATAACCATGTAATTCCTGCTCAACGTTCCTCTCAGCTCAAATCTAGGGAATTCCATGAAAGGTTTTGAATTGCTGTAGCTTGCTACTGATTCTGGAGGCAGTCCTGCCTGCCCTCTCCTGCTTCTTCTTGTGTCTTCTGCCTCTGCCCATTTTGTGCTGGCACCAGCAGTCATACAGCCACATAGCGATGGGATGGGACCATGCCTTTTGGCAGCAGTGACAAGGTATGCCTATATAAACTGCAGCATTGGATGTGAGATAAAAGTTAAATGTCTGGCAAAGTCAGTCCTCAGAAAATGATGCTTTTTAAGAACCAAATTAGACAATTCACCCCATATTTTGTCTGCCAGCTCCAAGCTGGGACATGTCATCTTGATGTAGTTTCTTCCCTTGCCAATAAAATACCACTGCCAGGAGGACACAATATTGTGTGTACACCTCCAGACATAAGGCAATCTCCAAGGTTCAAATACAGTAAAGTATTGGAGGGATTTGAATCATAGCTGTCATAGTGTAGGGAATGCACTGCATACACCTCTTAGTGGGAGGATTCAAGAGAAACACCAGCTCCATATTTTTGTAAGATGGGGTTGGCCTGTCCTTGGCACTTCTGCAGGAGGTCAGGGCAGTGAATCTGAGTGAAGGTAAGTTCTTCTTTCCAATCTGACCAGATATTTAAGTTTCAAAAAGTGATACCTTTGAAAAGCTCTTCTCTTCAGCAAACTAAAACATAAGAGCTCAGGTGAGCCTCTCTCATGTTACGTCTCTCTTAAGTTCCATGCGACTTAATACAAGAGTGTCTGCGTGGTATAGACTGTGACTTACATTGAATAGTTGTGTATGATGTTGTATATGATGTTGTCAAGGCTAAAGACGTGTGGTCTCTCTCTGACAACTGAAGGCCTTTGCATTGTGTGTCAACAAGAGGCAAAACCAGCAGCCAGCAGAGCATGTGAATGAAAAAATAGTCTGTAGAAACAGAAAAAAACCCCACCCCAAAGTCAAGAAGCTTATGAACCGATCTTGATTATTGCTTCTTAGTTTCTCATAATCTGTTTGTGTGAGTTCATTTTTGGTTGGGTGTTTCAAATGTCAGGCAGTTACTACCACTACAGAAGACCCACTCTCAATCTGCAAGCAACAGTAAAGATTATAAGAATTACAGCTTAAAATTGAGAGACATAAATTCTAAATTCAAGACTTAATATAGGTAACAAGGCAGCAAGTCATGTGAATGCAGTACTTTGCCAAACTCGCCTGCTTTATATAGCTGAATACATACGATTTTCTTGTTACACATCTGAAACAATTTCCTAAGTGTAACAATTCTTTCATTCTGCTTTTAAATTTACAGCTATGATTAAATACCTTGATTTGCTTTCTATTAGATTAAAAAAACACAGTTAATAAGGAATTAATTGCTGAGGCTTTAAAAAAAAAGACAGACATTCACCACAGAAACATTAAAGATCTAAATGGAATATGTAAATGGTCCCCATCAAAATAAGCTGGCTACAATCAGGACTGAATGT